AAATGCCTTACAATACTGGCCAACTAGACACCATTTTAAGGAAAAAATTATTATAAATATTTTTTTCGGATGAAAAATAGAACTTTTAGTAGGTTATGAAGTATCTAGATTATTCTCCGCATAGATATAACATATTTCAATGAAAGTACTTTCTATATAAACTAATAAATTCAATAGTCGTTGTCTTCTATGAGTATAAAGTCAATTCTGAGATCTTAGGTTGCTTTATTGAAAAGTGTGAAAAAACCGGTAATTTCGAAAACAAGTGTCTTATACACATCTATGTCTCTCTTTTTCAAATTGAACTGAACTGTGTAGTCACATGTATGACTATGGATATATATACAAAGAAAAAAAGAATATTCGTCGTGTAAGCAGGCGTTTAATATTCTTTTTTCTCTTTCCTATCGATTCGTAAATTACGTAGTCATATGTAATTGTGTTTTCGTGTTCAACAGCACGTAAAAGTAATCATCTAAATTCAACGACCTTATATTAAGTGTGATTTTAATTGATTAAGTATATTAATCAATTAGGTAAGCAATAATTTATTCATTACAGAAATGAGTAATAGCAAGTGTTTTTTCTCTGATTGTTGTGATGAAGTTTCTTGCTCAGGAAAAGAAACTTGGACACAACTGTCTGAATTGAAAAAGGAAAAAATACTAGTAAAACATTTTCTGACTCTGAAAACCTTTTGGAAGTAATACTTCTGAGAGCAGATATGTTTTTCCAACACAAGTTTGATGTTGAGAATGCTTTCGTTTGTGATGTTCATCACAAAATACTGTTGCGACAGGTTTATTATAACAAGTCGATAAGTAAATGCGATACCTGTTTCAGTGTAAAAGGAATATCATTATATGCTAAGACTGGCTTGCGACACATTACTGTATCTCAAGCTATCACGTTATTTGAGATGTTTAAACTGAAAAATTCATATGGAAAATTGATTTGTCCACAGTGTCGAATGAAAGTTTCGAAAAGTGCTGAACCAACGAGAGAAAAGCTTCATGATGATGCTTTTGAGTGCCTTTTCGATCCTGAGTCAGTATGCTGTACGGATAATTCTATGGAGGATCAAGATCCTGATTATCAATCAACTTTTGATCCTTCAATTGATGAAGAGAAGTTAAATGAACAGAGAACAGCCTTGAACAATTTTCTTGCTGCTTGTGGCAGTAAAAGAAAAGTGAGTGTGACAACATCTTATAAAGATTTATCGCACCGTGTTAAATTAAGATATGTAAGTTTAACGAAATTCATAATGCAATCAGCTACATCGTTGATGGTGTCGAATGACGCTGACATGCTTATGCATGATTCATTTAGTGATTTTAGCAGTGGAGAGTCGAATATCGTTTTAGACGGAAATTTTCGTCAAATAATGAGTGGTATTTCAGAGGCATATATTAATGCTGAGTCGTGGCAATCGAGACGAGAGATTCTTTCGGTAGTTGTACCGAAAATATCATTAAAGCTCATGCAGTTATTTATACCAGGTATAACTAGGGGCAGATTTTCTGCAGCACGTCTGCATGCTAAAAAATATAGTGCTGGTTCGAAAGTTGAAGTAACAACAAAAGTTGTACAACGATTTGATGATCATCAAATTGCTCACTTTGTTGATTTTGTTATTTCACCTCACATTTGTACAGATTTACCTTTTGGTGAAAAAGTATTAAAGTTATCGTCTGGAATCGAATTATTCGTTCCAAATACGATAAGAAATATGGGAGCGACTCGTATTATCTATCAGTATTTTCTTTATTGTAATGAGATGTGTTCAGATTTTGAACCACTTGGTAAGAGTAGTTTATTTACTATTCTCGAGACTTGTAAAGCATCAACAAGAAAGTCTTTACAAGG